AATGGGTCGGTTATCAGCAACGGACCTAAAGGAACGGGTAAGCATGGTTACAAATTGGTGACAGAAACCAAGGGCGTTGTAAATGGCTATGAAGGCCCAAGGTCGTTGCATCCCGAGCTCGATAATGTAAATAATTGTACAGAGAGCTTAAGCATGGAGTGTTGTCAACCCAAGTCTGTAAATAACCATGAAAGTGGCGTGGAGGTGGAGGATGATTTTGAAGGCATATGTGATTTGTTTGATTAGAGAGGTAAGTAATGCTATGAACTTTGGTCAACTCTCTGGTTTGCAGTTTATTCTTTTATTTCTGTTGGAAGTTTCATTAATGGATGAAGTGTAGATATGGTGTTTTAATGGCGTTTCATTTAATGGTTCCTTTGTAAATGACAGAGCTAAATTATGTCTTCTCCAACTGGCTGTCTTGTAATGTAAATAATAGAGACTTGCCATTAAAGCTGCGCTGAGTTGATGTGAAATTATGGTTCATTTGAATGTGATTCACTGTGTTGCACAGTGGACATGAGCATTTATGTTGTTTGCTGCTGCCTCTGAGATGTGTTCCATTTTCTCTTTGGATTCTCTTTTCATGACTTTCGAGTTTCATTTAATCGGTGGGGATTTTCCTTGAATGAGATTAGAGGATCTCTATTTGGGTAATAGAGAAGGATTGGAGAGCGACTTCTCCCCGTTAATTGGAATGGGACGGAGATTATATTGTCCTTGATCCTGTCTAAATCTCTGTTCCTCACCTTTTGTATTATATTAAATGGAGAATGAAATAGGAGATAGAGACGGAGATTGATAGAGTCAATCGTAAGGTCCTTCAAACAGGTCCTTCAAACAAGTTGTTACCTTTTCAAACCAAAAACAGCCTTATATGTTTGAATTGATTGTGTTGTTCACAAATTGCAATAATAAAACCAGCAATTGGAACTTAATTTGGACGAATTCTATTCCATTTGGAGAACTTTTCTCATACGTCTTGGAAATAATAGGCAATCCAAGTTTGAATTTTTATTTTTCTTTTTCTTTGAAGGAAGAGAAATCAAATTTTACTCTTTAAACTTGGTGGACTTTAGAATGTTTGTGAAAAGATCATTTTGATGCTTATTTTCTTCGAGTATGTGTATTAGTACGTTAATACAAGAAGAACTATTAGAATAATAAAGGGCTAGGAAGAGATGAGTTTAAGCCTTAATAGCCCACCAAGTCTAATCTCAATCTCGAGACACGACTTGGCTAATAGGGTGACGATCAAGTGGGCCGAGTGGCACAGTCATGCTGATGGTCAAGTGTGTAGAACATGGCTAGTAGGGTGATAATCAAGTGGGCCGAGTGGCACACTTCAATTATACGTAGTGTGCAACGTATAATTGAAGGGCTAAAGATCAGTGGCAATGGCTTCCCCAACTTCACTATTCACCACCAGAGAACGCGGAAAGGGCATGGAATGGAGAGAGTCATTTAGCAAATCACTCAAATCACATTTACAATTACAAAATAGTACTTGTTCTTCTTTCAAGTATCCAATGACACATATGATAGTCAGTCCCAAAAACAATTGACAACCCTACAAACTACCAATACTAATATATATTGCTCCACAATGACAGAATAAATATTGAAGTTAAGGATAAATTCCCAAGCAACCAGATGCTGCCAGTGGAATTTTACAGGAAATCTCAGCTGGTCACCGAGTTAGGCGACGGGTGGCCGGAGTACGTGGTCCTGTGACGTGTCGACTGCAGCAGGAGGCATGAACTGCCACATGGCTACACTTGGGTGGTAACCAATGAAAGGAACTAACTTATTACCGCCAGGAGCTTGACTCTGAGCAGCAAATGTGGGGATTGGTGGAGGTAAGAAGCCAGCAGGGTGAGCATGCATGGACTTCACTTGCTGCTCTAGCTTCTCCTTGTCGGCCTTCAGCCTCTGCTTCTCGTCACGAAGCTCGTTCTTCTCAGCCTATACAAGATTGCGAGAAATGAAATATTATTATCAGACTTCTCCATTCAAATGCATCAAAAGCAATCAAAGCGAGCTAATATAATGGCACGTCTTTGGCAAGAAAGCGAAATAAACGTACCTTCAGTTCTTTAATCTTATCCTGCAGACTTGAATTTGATTCCTTTAGTTTCTGGGCTTCGCTACGTAACTGATTCACCATTCGAACAGCATCAACTAAAATTGCAGCCTTGTCGGTTTTGGGTGTCCTTCCAGGTTCCAAAATGGAGCCCAGTGTCAGAAACCTGTTTTGTGATGCACATAACAATTTGATTTGTTGAGGTAACAGACAATCGTTATAAACATAGATAAATGGGGGGTTCGGGATCGAGGAAGTACTTCTCGTTGAGCCTATCTCTCCGCAATTTTTCCCTACATGCTTTGGAGCTTGATCCACTACATGAATCAGATCGGACCCTGCAGCATAAAACGAGTATACTTTATTTGATGCTATATCATATTTTCCTTCCCACTTTTAGTTTCATTTGTTACTATATCTATTTACACCTAGTTAAACCAACTCAACATCTTAACATGGTAAGCCAAATTTCACAATGGAAAAAGGACGTAAAATAAATAAATGGATCCTTAGCCTTTTACTAAATAACATTGATTAGGACACTAGATACGATATCAATACGAATAATCAGCTTGATGTAATATAGTTATAATAAAAAGCCACAAACAATTTATTAGGTGCCAAACACTTACCACAAGATACTAATAAATTGCCATATCAAAGGGAAATTACAGTATAACTATAGCCTTTCGAGTTGGAAACTCGCTCTCGAGTCCCACAATGGTCAATTCCACTAAAATGAACTCCCCTCTAAAGTCCCTATCTCCCTCTATTTATAACTAAGTCACCCTATCTAATTACTACTATGCCATTACTAATATCCTACATATCATCTCCATACAATCCTATTAGAACTCTCACATATAATTGCATTGAAGTTCAAATAAAGGAAGAATCATAGCTTTATCACTCCCTCCCATCCATGCCATACAACTGAATGCTCTTCAGTTAACACATATCTGACAAGTGAGTAACCATCGAAAGTGCTGTGACCGGAGTAAAAGATCACAAAGACTTAAATTTCAGCAGTAAGATAAAATGTAAACCTAGTTTCAAGTCGATTAGAACATAAACTGGATACAAATTTCTGGAAATTTTAAATTAGAAAAGACCTCACTGTACAAGTAATGACTAACTAAAATGCTTGCATAAAGTCGATTCATGCTGTTTGTGCCAATAATAATACAGCTAATATATTTCTAATGATATTGATTCCCAGATCATCGTTATGGAAAAGACTTCAAAGCAGAAATATTACCAAGAGTCAAAAGGTTGTTTATATTGAACAGACAAGATTAAGAAGTAATAACGAAGGTCTCGTACCTCTTCTTGGAGCCAGATTCTAGACGACCATCCAGATCTGCCGATGACCCATCAATTTCCGCACTAGAATAACATGTCCAAAGAAAAAGAACTAAACATCAACAAAATTTACATTAATATGTCGAAAAAAGTAAAAGACAAATCTTTCTACATGCCACCGGAATTCAACATAACATACGAAACTTTCCTCACAGAGAAACTACCATTTATACAAATTCATATAAACCTAAAAGCCAAGACGCACAATCATCCTTACAATCTTACAGTTACCAAAATACAACAACACATAGTTCTTGGTATATTCACGCCCCCAACGTCTTGTTAATCCCACCCATCACCCCTGTGGACACTAAATCAATCCGGTCAACAACCTAATAGTTCACCAAACAGAACCAGTAGTATCTATAAACCATTTTCCTCAAAACCTCAGAGTTTTCCAGTCATAAAACTCGGAAGTCCGAACTCATTACTAGCTCAATCCAAAAAAGTTCCAAAGCAGGTTGAGATCTTCTCCAATATTAATCTGGACGGCAATTAAAGGGCCACTCCACCTCCCATAATTCGGCAAGTACACGAAAACCCGGGAAGAAACACAAAAAACAAAACACCATTCGAAGCAAACAAAACCTAATTTAGCTTTCGATACGAAAAAAACAAAAACAAGCTTAAGAGCTTAATCGATAGAGATCTGAAGATTACCCGACATCATGGGTGCCATCAAAGGGTTGAACAGCCCACGAGAAGCTCGAACTGGTGACTGGGAAATTCGCATCCGAAACGGGGATGTCATCGATCAAACCATAATCAAACAACCAATTGGAATTTTCAGGGGATACCATTTTCTCAAACAACAAGAACAACAACAACAACAACGAAAAGCGTTACTAATCCGATCAGAATGATAGTTGAAAGCAAAATCAGAGGACCAGAATTAGGGTTAGGGCAATTGAAGGAGATGAAAAATTTGGGGACGATAAAATTCGTTGAAGATTGGGGATTGGGGGCGTATTATTGTTGGTAGGTGTTCGGCCATATTGGGGGATTGAGTGGGAGAGACACGTCATCCTAACGCGTGAATTACATTTTGGGTCAGAAATAAAACGGTTGCCGGTTGCTGAGCCGGCGGTCGGTCGGAATCGGTTTTCGTACGAGTCGAAACGGTTCGGTCCATTTTCTAACTTGACTTCTATGATATATTATTTACATTGAATATAAGTTTTATAATAATATTATTAAGAAACTAGAATATGGTGATGGATCAAGATTGAGACACTCCAACTATATATTATAAATAATAAATCAAAAAATATTATTAAATTAAATATCAACGAACACATTACATCATCGACCAAAAGGCCAAATATTTTAATTTTAATTTTGTAATTAAAGGACTAAATTTTAATTTTATTTTTAATAGGTTCGTCAATTTTAAAAAATATACCAACATTTATTCGGTAAAAAATAAAAAATTTAGAAATTTATTTTTAAGGACTTATTTAAAAAAAAAAAGAATTTTTGTTTTTTTTTCATGACAAAATTACCAAAATAACCTCCATGAGGATATCCTTTTGAGTGGACAGTAAAGGACACCATGAAAGGGGAAACGGATAACTGAATTAGAAGCTCTGCCTCTTTCTATTGCCAATTCCTCCGTTTCTCTTCAAAGCTTTGCATCAATGGCTCGTCTTGCGAACTTAAACGGTGTCTCGGAGAAGTTCTCCGCCATTCCCAAGCTTTCGAAGCTTCAAAAGACTCGTAAGAGATCGAAAATAATGGGGCTTCTCGAGAAACAAGCGGAGGTTTCCTCTCATGAAGTCTCATTGACAAGAAGATTAGCTCTTACCAGTCTCACATCTGTCGCTCTCTTTGGCAATGCATCGGTCGAGATCGCTTCTGCTAACGAGTACTGGCTCGATGGCCCTCTGCCAATCCCTTCTGTTTATAACAGTAAGCTTTCTGTTTCTTCATGTAGAATAAGTTGTAAGTCGTTTGGTGTTTGTTAGTTCATGATGAATTCTTTGTTACAGACATAGCGAACGAGAAAACAGGTACTCGATCGTTTTTGAAGACGGGGATTTACATAGCTAACATAGGGACGGAAGGGAGAAAATACAGATTGAAGAGATATGCGTTTGATCTTCTGGCTATGGCGGATTTGATTGGGAAAGATACTTTGAACTATGTGAGGAAATATCTTCGACTCAAATCGACGTTCATGTACTACGATTTCGACAATGTTATTTCGGCAGCAGAAGACGGTGAGAAGCAGCCTCTCACCGACTTAGCAAACCGATTATTCGACAACTTCGAGAAGGTAAAGAACAAAAAAGCTTACAAAAATCTGCAATTCTTGAAGCTGAAGTTTCTTGTTTCGTGTGTTTGTAGCTTGAAGATGCAGCAAAGCAGAAGAATCTGAGTGAAACTGAAGCTTACTATCAACAGACAACGCCTATACTTCAAGAAGTTATGGATAGAATGGCATAAACTGTGGAAGTTTTTGAGAAGATTAAGGATCAGTTTCCTTTTTTTTCCACTGTTCTTCTGTTGTTCTTGTTTATAATTCGATTCGATTTTGCATCCATATATAAATGTGGCGTAACGATGCAATAATAGTGGTTCGAGTGTTTAATCTTAGTTCAACAATCTAGATTTTGTCTTAAACGGGAGGGGGGACGATATCGATCAGGCAAACAAGAAGTGTGAGATTTCACATTGGTTGGGGAGAAGAACGAAACATTCTTTATAAGGGTGTAGAAACCTCTCCCTAGACGACGTGTTTTAAAACCTTGGGGGAAGCCCGAAAGGGAAAGTTCAAAGAGGACAATATCTGCTAGGGGTGAATTTAGGCTGTTACAAATAGTATCAGAGTCAGACACCGGGCGATGTGTCAGCAAAAAGATTGAGACCCAAAAAGGGGTGGACACGAGGCGGTGTGTTAGCAAGGATGTTGGGCCCCGAAGGGTGGTGGATTTGGGGGGTCCCATATCGAGGAACAAGTACTAGTAAGGACGCTAGGCTCTGAAGGGGAGTGGATTGTGAGACACGAAGCGGGGTACCAGCAAGGACTCTCGGGGGTGGATTTGGGGGGTCCCACATCGATTGGAGATGAGAACGAGTACCAGCAAGGACGTTGGGCCCTGAAGGGATGTGGATTTGAGATCCCATATGGGTTGGGGAGGAGAACGAAACATTCTTTATAAGGGTGTAGAAACCTCTCCCTAGAAGACGCGTTTTAAAACCTTGAGGGGAAGCCCGAGAGGGAAAGCCCAAAGAGGGCAATATCTGTTAGTGGTGGGCTTGGGCCATTACAAATGGTATCAGAGTCAAACACCGGGCGATGTGCAAGCGAGAAGACTGAGCCCCAAAAAGGGGTGGACACGAGGCGGTGTGTTAGCAAGGACGCTGGGCCCCGAAGGGTGGTGGATTTGGGGGGTCCCATATCAAGGAACGAGTACCAGTAAGGACGCTAGGCTCCGAAGGGGAGTGGATTGTGAGACACGAAGCGGTGTACCAGCAAGGACTCTCGGGGGTGGATTTGGGGGGTCCCACATCGATTGGAGATTGAAACGAGTACCAACGAGGACGTTGGGTCCTGAAGGGGAGTGGATTGTGAGATCCTACATGGGTTGGGGAGAAGATGGAAACCTCTCTCTAGAAGACGCGTTTTAAAAACCGTGAGAGAAAGTCCGAAAGGGAAAGCCCAAATAGAACAATATCTGCTAGCGGAGTGAGCTAGGCCGTTACAAGAAGGATCATTTACAGCATGCTTGGCACAAAAATTGGGAAAAAAATCTTGCTTTCATTAATACAATCAGATCTCTTTTGCTATACAACTAAGCCTAAGTCATAATCATCCTCATATTCAATTATCAGATAGCTGATTTGCCAATGTAAAAGCAAGGCTCAAGCATAAACCTTAAGGTCGTGTATTGGTTAGACGTCGAGGAGTACCGATCTCGCAAGCATTGACCCGAGCAGCAAAGCGAAGCGAGCAGAGCGACTCGTTAGCCGAGGAGGAATCGGGAGAGATATTTACAAACATCAACGTCTTCGAATCTCCACCGAGACAAGGCTGGTTAACCATCAGAAAGTTAGAATGATTGTAATATAAATGTCAAACAGAGAAATCAACAAGTACCTGAAGAAGATATGTAAGCTTTGAGTTTCTAAATGGCACATGTTCTTCCTTCTTTGCCAAAGCAAATATAACATCGCTCAAAGACGATAAACTTCGATTTATGGCCTGATCGTAATGAAGAAAATAAAGGATTAAGAGCGGAATTTGAATAATGAAACAAGTTTAAAACAAAAATATGATAGTAATGATCATTTACTTGGGTTTCTTTCAGTCGTTCCCCCGTCGATCCGCTCTTGGAAAGACGCTCACTCCCAGCAAGATCAATCAAATTCAAAACGCCTTGTACTTGTTGATCAGTACTCTACCAGATGCAAAATGAGAATGAATCTATGGAAACATAGCAGTAGAGAAGAACCACGACATGTTAAAACATAAACGGCGACCAACCATATTTTACCTCGTTGACACCGGATATTTTAAGAGTGAACACAAAATGACTTCTCGATGATTGCTCGTTCATTTGGGTTTTGCCAACGGATCTAAGGAGAAAATGCAATGCGTTTTCACAATCGTTACTCGTAAAAACATAACGTACTAATCAAAAAGTGTTATTATAGCTACATCAACAACTCAAGCAGCATTGAGCATTGCAGGTAAGGAGCATTAGTGCAAGTCGATACGAGTGGAAATGAGGAAACTATTGGTACCTGCTCCGAGAAGCTTCCTGTAATAGAAACGAGACCTCCTTGGCGCTACGAACATCTACAACTGTAAGATCAGACACTTGTGTGTTTCCATTTGCATCGTGTTTGATCGAGTACGGTTTCAAAGGAGAACCATTTTCTGCTCGTAGCACATCTGGAGCTGATCGGTTTGATGATAGTAAATCATGGATCGTTTCGTTGTATATTTCCAACATCGATACCTATAGAACGTTAAGAAGTTCAACAAAGATGTCTTAGAACATGACAACAGAAAAGACACAACATATACTCAAATAGTATAATGTATCTCTCACCTGCATATCATATTTCCAACCCTGAGGTTGAAGAGATTGCCTGGTTTGAAATATTTGTTCCAATGATCGAGGTATCAGTCCCTTCTCCTCTAGAAACCCTGTTTTACCCATCATTGTATACGTTTTTCCCGAACCCGTTTGACCGTACGCAAATATACAAACCTAAAAGAAATAACATTTACCAAAGAAATTGTAAATTAGCCAAAATATGGGAGTAAAGACTATGGTGTCATGTATTACCTTATAACCGTCGAGGGCGCTTTGTACAAGCTGGGAAATCTCTACAAAGACATCTTCTTGTGTTGCTTCCGGTGCAAAAACCTTGTCGTACGTGAAAGAATGTCGTTGCCCTGACAATATATAAGCATGGTAGAAGCTTTATTTCCTGATATCAGTTCGAATAAAGAGAGCTGGAGGATTGTTGGGATGGAGTCCCACGTTGGCTAATTTAGAGGATGATCATGGGTATACATCTCCATTGGTATGAGACCTTTCGGGAAAGCCCCAAGCAATGTCAGGAGAGCTTTTGCTCAAAGTGGACAATATCATACCATTGTGAAGAGTCGTGATTCCTAACATAGAATCAGAGCTATGCCCTTAACTTAGCCATGTTAATAGAATCCTCAAATGTCGAACAAAGAAGTTGTGAGCCTCGAAGGTGTAGTCGAAAGTGACTCGGTGTCGATGTCGAACAAAGGGTGTACTTTGTTCGAGGACTCCAAAGGAGTCGAGCCTCAATTAAAGGGAGGCTGTTCGAGGGCTCCATAGGCCTCAGGGGAGGATTGTTGGGAGATCCGTGATTCCTAACAAATGTATCATATGGAAGTAACTTGGTGGGCTTGAATATTATCAGTAAAAAGTATACCATTTTGCACTAGATTGATTCCTCGTCCAAGCGATTCGACTGATGACGGGTACGAGATGAAATTTCCTTCGGGGCTAGAACGTTCATCAGGTAACAAAGGTCGCACTCGACAGAATACACGAATGTTCCCTTTCAATTCCTGCATTACAAAAAGAGCTCAATGAATAAAAAAAAACAACAGTACAGCAGCTAATACAATGTTTATGCAACGGGGGATTACCAATATGGTATTATGCAGTTTCTTTCGAAGCATCTCTCCTTCCATTAGCTTAGTTTCTGCATCTCCGAGCCGTGCTAGTAACTCACTTACGAGTCTCCGTTGATCTTCGAATTCGTGCATCGTCTCCATTGCAGTTAGATCAGAGACCTAGAAGAAAAGCATGTCAAAAGATTTATCATCCAACTTGGTCAGTTCATCATTTTAATGTCAAAGACAACATTTGCAGAGTAAAATTACTATTTTGATGTCTTTAAGGTTGTATATATCATCACCTGCAGCTTGTTTTCTGCAGCAGCTAGATGATTTTGCAATGTTTTTAGTTCAATGCTTTGTGAAGAACATCTTGCCTGCAAACGAGAACTCGAATTCAAGCTTAAAGATCTATACAAAAAATGGGAACAATGAACATCAATGTGTAAGAACCTCTAATTCATTTGCTTTTGCCTTCATTTCATCCAGCTCCTCACAGTACTTTTCTGCTGACTCCCTGCAATTCTCTACTTCATCTGTCAAAGTCTGCACCAGAGAGAGTTGACGATCTCGATCATCTCTAACCTGTTGTATTTCTCGTCTTAAACACGTAACTTCGTTCAGCATAGCATCCTTCTGCTTTAATGCCTCGTCTTGAGAAGCCTATACTCGCAATATAGACAATTATGATTCAGAACGGACTGATATCCATAAGTAAAAACGCAAGGCTACTCGTAGAAAAAGAACTCACTTTAGACAATGCAAGTTCGCCCTTGATCATACTGAGATCCTCTACCATGGCAGCTTTTTCTTTCTCTACTCGTTTGAGGTCATCCTCAGCAGTCGAAAGCTCGGTATGAAGTTTGCCATTATATTGTTGTAAACTCGTAATGTAATCCTGCAACCTCTTGTACATCTCATTAAGAGACGATAGCTGCAGAATTCCCATGAGTCGAGGTCAAAACATTTGTTGTGTTAAGCACACCACTTAGTCTATTTTCGATTTTACCTTTTGATTCGCACTCGAGAGCTCACGTTGAGCCCTTGCAAGCTCCTCGGAGATCGAAGCCTGTGACCTCTCCATTATGAGCCTAGCCTCTTTCTCCTTAGTGAGAGACTCTACTGCAGCCTGACAATGATACTCAAATCTTAAGTCAACACACCAAACTCCCATTTATTTCATCGTTCATACACGACATCTCGATTAAAAGCTTACCAACTTCTCGGATTCTTCTTGTGTGAATTTCTCTCGCAAGAATGCATTGTTCTTTCTAAGTTCTACAATGATAGAATTCAATTCCTCTTCCTTGTTCTTCACTATCATCTCTAATAATCACAAAAGAAAGTCAATATCAATGAAAATGGGTTGGAAATGATATCAAATACCAAGAACATGAGATCTTGGAGATACCCATTTCACTGGACTTGATCTCAGAGGTTTCTAGCTCATCTTGTAGCTTCCTCTGCTCTAATAAGTAGCTATACTCAAGCTCTTGGAACCATTTGATGCAGAGTTTAAGCCTTTTAATGTACTCCACCATGTTATCACATTTTTCCTGAAAACCCAACAAAATGGTCTCATCAAAACGCAATCCCCACAAACATTTTCTCAAATTCCATCAACCCTTTTAACTGATCTGATAATGTAAAAGAGAAAGAAGCAAGACAAAATGGTGTTCATCATCTGAATTACCTTAACCGCTGAAAAGGAGGGACTGACCTTTAGATTAAACCTATCCTTCCTTTTAAGCTTCTCATTCAACAAAGCCTCAACGTCCTCTTTAGTGAACTCAATGCCACCGCACTCAGAGCCGGCAATGCTCGTCGGAGCACTGGTAAGACAAAGCTCCTCTCCGCCATTAACGTCGGAGAAGGACAAACGGGTCCTGACATTAATAGCAGGTCCAACCATTATGGCTTCTAGTTACTCACCCCACAATCTATAACACCCAGTTCATCACCAACACCCTGGATGATGGATCATAAACCAAATCCAAAAGGGGGTGAAAAAAAAACAAAACAAAACAAAAAAAAAACCCAAAAACTACAGACCCAGAAGAGCTAAATCACTCAAATCTTGAAAATGGAAGAATCTAAGACATGGGGAGAGGGAATGAAGCCAACAGAAACAGAAGAACAACACAATATTTGAAGAAGGAAGATAGGCAAAAAAGGACTCAAGCATATAGTTGTGGGGCCATAAATTGCATTTAAAGCTAACGATTATTTGTGTGCACTGCAGCCGCTTGCTTGAACGAGCAGGAAAGATTGATGAGCTCTGAGAGAGAGAAGAGAAAAGGGCAATGGGGTTCTGGTGAGTATAGATTTTGAGTGTAAATTGGTTAAAAAAACGTATCTAGAACCAAGGAATTGGGGTTTTGAGCAGAGATTTTAATGGGTTGTTCTTGTTTGGTAGAGAAAAGCACGGATTCCTGGCCTTCTTCTTTCACTCTTATCAATGGAGGAGGACACTCAAATTTTTTGAAATCAGGTTTTTGGGGAACAAGATGGGAAGCATGTGACTTGTAATAAATAATACACTAACTTATAGAAAATAGCTTACAAAAATGCTCTTTATCATGTTCGACGAACAGATAAAGAGCACGCTTTGCTTAATTCCCCACTTATAAACCCATAATCTTCCACTAAATTAACCAATGTGGGACTCACTCTCAATAATCCTCAACAATTCTCCCTTCGAACAAACAACACTATAAGCCTCTCCTAAGGCTTAAGCTCTCAAATACCCTCCCCTTAATCGATATAAACAAATAAGCTCTATAAACATAACTCTTACGGTATAAACGAGTTAAATTATTGTGACGAGTATAATTAAACGTTGAACGGTAGAAACTGTCTCTAACGAACATAAATAACTATAAAAAAATATATATATTATGAAATTTTAAATTTTTTATTAAAATATTAAAAGTAATATATAAGAGTATTTTTTTTTTCTCATTTTAATTAATAAATAAAAAAAGGTTGTTAAGTGAAAACAAAATGTCACCTAAAAATATATAAATAGATTAAATAAAATTTAAGAAAATTATAATTATGATATAAATAATAATATTATTATTAATTTTTGTCTCTGCTGTTGAGATCTAACAGAAAAGCCTGCCACTAATGGGTTTATAATTATATTAATTTTTGTATTTATTTAATAAATAATTACTTTTCTTTGCGTCCATTGGAGGACAAGAATTTTATTGCTTTTTTTATTTTTTTTATTTTTTTATTATTTTTTTAAATTTTCTGTCTTGTAGTAATGGTGGTGGAAGAAGTTGTTGATATCTCAATTCATTCTTTGGTCTCTTTTTGGAGGCTTCTTCTTTACCCTATGAATTACATTCTCTCTCTTCAAATTATTAAATATATGTTTAAATTATTTGAATTGTGTTCGAGTTACCGACAACGTGAAATAGGAGTGTTCATGTAACTCAATAACCCGACCAACTCAGTCTACTCAACCCAAATTATAATGGTTAGGTTGAGTTAGATTTTTCTCGGTCTTGATTGGATTGAACTTTTAAAAACGGAAAAATTCGATTCGATTTGTGGGTTAGTGTTTTTTTGGCGACCTAACGCTATCATACTTTTTTTTTTTTGTAAAAATTAAGAATATTTAACGTCTGTAACTGATGATAGTGATGAGTTGTATTGATGTTTGAATTTTATGAAATTTTAGTTATTAATGTACTGTGGAATTTTTTTTAATAATTTAAAAAAAAAACAACTCGACAAGCCAACCTAACCTGAAAATAGAGAGTTGGGTTGGGTTGTGAACTTTATTCGGGTTGCTTGGATTATCTATCCAACCAACCAGAAATTTTTTCAACCCAACTCGTGTACTCTCCTGAGATGAAGTCTTAGATCGAGTTTAGTTTACATCACGAACCGTGTCGAACAATGAATTCAATACTACATTTTCAAGCTTTTGGATCAAGTAAAAATTGAATAATTCTATGAATATCGAGACCCATTTCGCTATCCGATGTGTGCAATACTACCCTAGTTTAGCTCGACATCACTTGAGTCCAGACAGTAACTCTTAAAACGTGTTGGGAGTAGCACCACACTGATACGAATATCTTCCTTACAGACCCAATTGAACATCTCAACGTGTTACGTGTTGGACAAAAAACTTACATAGACCTGTAACTAGACGCTCAAATGAACGAAACAAAAGTAACAAAAACCCAAAATTTTGAAACATTAAAACAAACATATAAGATTGAATGAACCGACACTAATGTATGGAATTTTCTTTTGTTCTCTTGTCTTATTAAGGATATTGGCTTTATATCCTTATTTAAACCGTCAACTACACCTTTAATTGCTTTAAATTACCACAAGCTAAGCATAATTATTTTACCTACATCCACTATTTTACCCATCTAATCAACGACTTTTAACTATAGTAAAATTATAGTTAGTTGAACGTAACTTAAGGCTAAAACATTGAATTGCTAGAACTGCATCGAATCAAGGAAAACCATATAGATAGCGGCTCACCACTCTCGAGAGCATCGATAATGGTGCATTATTTTACCTACATCCACTCTTTTACCCATCTAATCAACGACTTTTAACTACAGTAAAATTATAGTTAGTTGAACGTCACTTAAGGCTAAAGCATTGAATTGCTAGAACTGCATCTAATCAAGGAAAACCATATACATAGCGGCTCACCACTCTCAAGAGCATCGAGACGCTACTTATGATATTTTGTATATTTAATTAATTTTATTTATATATAATTTGAGATAATTATGATATTTTTTCACGAGGAAAATTGAAAGAAACATATACATGATTTCATATTTATTGGGCCGAAGACGACACAAATCGGATCCGGCCCAAGCCCTAAACCGAAGCCCAAATTCCAGTTCAGAGAACACATATAAAATAAATGAAGCAAAAATTGGAGATGCGGGGTATCGATCCCCGTACCTCTCGCATGCTAAGCGAGCGCTCTACCATCTGAGCTACATCCCCATTTGTGATGCAGGTCATAACTTTAATAAAATACTATAAACCATTTATTTTTTTTTCAAACTTAATAATTTATTAATATTTACGAAATAAAAGATATAGTATTTATCTAATAATATAAAATTGAATTTATGATTAATATCGAAATAATAATTCCCTAGCGAAAACCTTATGATAAAATATTACCATGATTTTTATACGTAACAATAGGATTTGACGCATTATTAATGGGTTATTCTTAAAATTGGTCACCTTATTCATGACTAAGTTTGGTGCAAACAATTTAATTTTGTACTATAGAAATAAATATGACAGCAAATTATTATGTCACGAGCAAAATTTTACCCAAATATTAAAATTGTAACACTAAGATTTTATTAGATGAAAATAAACTTGATGAAAGACCGAAAAAAATAAAATAAAATAAGGTGCAGATAAATGGTTTCCATCTATGATTGATGTAAAATCTTTCCTCTAAACCATTCATATATGAAACAGGTCGGTAATAAAAAAATGTAATCAAATAAATACCATCTGTTATTTATTTGGACGGTTACGTTAAAACACGTTCTAGACTTTTAATTTCTATTATTTTGAAATCTCCGATTTAATTATATAACCTTATTATTAATAATTAAAATTAGCTGATGTTAAATGTATATTGTTTATAATTAATTAACAAAATTTGTTAGACGAATTAAGCCACTTAGGTGAAATAATTCCTCATTTATGTTATCACCAACTCGATAAATATTATATTATAAAAAAAATTAGTTTGATAATTTTTTAATATTGACATCTTATAAATTTAAATATTTTTAATAACAAAATTATATGATTAAAATTTTAATAAAAAATAATTTAACATACTCTGACACATCATTAAAATTAGCTAAAATCCATTATTAAAACAAACCACAAAATAGAAAAAATTAAACTAAATTAATAAGATACCATAAATTTTAAAAAAAAAAAAAACCTCTAATTATACTTTATTTCTATAAAAAATTTTATTTTCGCGTTTAAACTTTTTTTACAAAGTTCAAAAATATTTTTATCTAACGTACATGAACAGTAAAAAATGTTTGACATATTTTTTAACGTCAATACCCTTAAAATTGAAGAAAAATACGATAGATATACAATTTTGGTTCATATATTGACAATAAAAAATTTTAAAATATTTAAAAATAAATGGAAGAGTATTTTTAAAATAAATTATTTATTTTGATATGAAGTTTTTGGGAGATAGTATAGATTAGAGGGTTGTAAGGTGTTAAAAAAGAAAGTGTAAAGATTTCAAATAAAGTCGTAGATTGGATCGCAAAAGAATTAGGTTGGAAAATTTTGAGGTAAGAATGGAAATGTCTGATTTCAATTCTCCACGGATTTAGGTGGAGAGAGTTTTAGGAGAAAACGACTGGAATAATCAATATACCGCCATTGAAAGTGGTCTGATTTCATTATGATTCTCTTTCTTCCTGCAGCAGCTTTCTCCAAAAATCCTCTCCAACAACGGAATCACGCCTTCTTTCCAACGCATTGTTATTTAGTCAAATGTTTCTAACGTCGGCGAATTCCTCGACCTTCTTTTGGTGGATCTGGTCTGAATCGGACACCCATTGGCGGCCTTTCCACTCCGCCCTCTTTTGATTTCCATTTCGTCTTTTCAAAAGGGGTTTTATCGCTTTCTTTTCTCAATTATTTTGGTTTACAATTGGAATTTCCTTAGCTTCGTTATCTGATTGTTTCTTTTCTGAGCTTTTTTCCCCTTGTGTGTTTATGGGATTTGTTTGAATCGTTGAGATTGATCGTTGTTCAGCTCGTTTTTGCGATTTTTATCTGAAATTATTGTTCGGTTTGCTGCGGGATTTTGAGGAATCGTGTTTCTGAAGAACCTTGGTTTTGGATGCTTTTTTTCCCTTGTGGTTGGGGAAAGATGGAACCCTGAGGATATTATGCTGTTATAATGACATTTCAACGACTTATGGGTATTGCAAAAAGGAGATGTTTGGTTGTTTTTGTGATTCTCATATGTGCTTCTTTAGCAACTTGCTTTAAGGACCATGAGGAAGAGGAACTGATTCTGAGCCAACTAGCTGACCCAATTACTGGGGATGTCAATATAGAGATGGTGAGCAATTATGTTTATGATATGATCTTATTTAGCTTCATTTATCTTAAACCTTGTTCCTTAACTGTTCTTGTTAGATTCAAAGCTAGTTTTGCTTGAATTCTTTGATCTTTGCAACTCTTGAATGATATTTAGGCTCATTGATTGCTGCTATTATGTTTGGTTTTGGACATAACTGTTCTTAAGTTCTTGACCATGTTTGTGCTGAATTTATAATAAGGCCTTTTAATGGAGGTAAGAATTTGGAACAATGAACAGAGATGAGAGCGCAATGTGTTAAAAACTTATGCATTTATACGCTCAACTACAAATTTGTTTCTCTCTTTGTATGTTTAAAAAGCAAGAGTTGTATAGATAATATTCTTGTTTTGTTTGAAA